ACACAATCAAAAGCCTTTGCGTAGTCAATAAAGCACAGGTAAACATCTTTCTGATAGTCTCTGCTTTCAGCCAAGATCCATCGGATATCAACAATGATATCCTTGTTCCTCGGGCTATTCTGAATCTGGCTTGAGCCTCTGGAGGTTCTCTGTCAATGTATGCTTGTAGCTGTTTCTGTATTACCTTTGGTAAAACTTTATTCACATGGGATATCAAAGAGATTGTCTGATGATTTCCGCATTCTGTTGGATCACCTCTCTTTGGAATGGGCACAAATACGAATCTCTTCCAATCAGTTGACCAGACAGTCGTCTTCCAAATTTCTTGGCAGAGATGAGTGAGTGCCTCCTGTGCTGCCTCACTTTCTTGAAAGATTTCAATTTTTGTTCCATCAATTCCTGGTGCCTTGTTCTTTGCCAATTCCTTCAATGCACCTTGGTATCCAAATGCATACCATATTTAAATGCATCAGTTTTCTCTGGTCTTCCTTATTCATTCTCATGTATAGGAAATGGTTGAAAGTACCATAGCTTTCATCAAGCATACCTCATCATTAATATCACATGGGAAAAAAAATTGTGCTAAAGGTAATTAAAAAGCTGTTGTAGCAGCACATCAAAGGAAACTGCCGGAAATTTATCTTCGATTCAGAAGAGGATGTGGAACTAGGGTTATTGCTGACATCAGATGGATCTTGGCTAAAAGCAGAGAATACTAGGAAGATGTTTACTTGTGCTTTACTGATATGCAAAGGCTTTCAACTGTGTGGACCATGACAAACTGTAGATAACACTGGGAAGAATGGGTACTCCAGAATACTTAATTGTGCTCATGAGGAACTTGTACATACACCAAGAGGCAGTTGTTTGAACAGACCAAGGGGATATTGAGTGGTTTAAACTCAAGAAAGTTGTGTGCCAGAGTTGTATCCTTTCACCATAGTTAATCAGTCTATATACTGGATTAATTATGGGAGAAGCTGGATTATATGAAGAAGAATGCAGCAAAAGGATTCGAGGAAGACTCATTAGCAACCTGTAATTTGCAGGTAATACAGCCTTGCTTGCTGGAAGCAAAGGGGACTTAAAATACTGATGAAGACCAAAGACTACAGCTTTCAGTATGGATTGCATTCAAAGTAAAGAATGATATTTTCTGTTGATTCATATGCATTTTGAAGTTGGACAATGAGTAAGGAAGACCATACAGGAATTGATGCATTTGAACTATGGTGTTGGAGAAGAATATTAAAAGTACCATGGACTGCCAGAATAACAAACAAATCTGTGTTGGAAGAAGTACAACTAGAATGTTCCTTAGAAGTCAACATGGCAAGACTTCTCTCAGATAAGACATGCAAGTAGGAGGGCCCAGGCACTGGAGAACAACATTATGATTGGTAAAGTGGAGGGTCATCAAAAATAGGAAGACCCCAAGGTAGTGGATTGACAAATTGACAGCAGCAATGGGTTCAAATGTAACAACAATTATGAGGATGGCATAGAACTGGGCAATGTTTTATTCTATTGTGTATCAGGTCACTGTGATTTGGAACCAACATGATGGCACCTAGCAACAACAATAGCATCTACTCTGAAACCTGAAGAACTAGATAATGCCCAACTACCACTACCAGCTGTCCTGATCATGGCCATAAAAGATGGATCCAGACAGAACAGGACGAAAACAGAACAGAACTCATAGTGCTAAAAAGTTGAGATTTAATTGGACCAGTTGAGACTAAAGGACTCCCTGAGGTACTTCCTAATCCCAGAACCAAACTATCCCCTAAAATCATCTTTTAGCAAAATAGCAGATTGGCACACAAAATAAAGGATATTACCCATGAATTCAGGGCTCTATTATAAAACCGTCTTTATGAGATCAAAAGGCCAACAGTTAACTCCAAAGCAAAGATGAGAAGTAAAGGGGCCAGGGAAACTAGAGCACTAGAAATGGAATAATCAGAATGCAATTAAAGAGAATGCTGACTCACTGTAAAAATTGTAGCTAATGTCACAGACAACTTGTACAGAAATTGTCAAATGGGAACCTAGTTTACAATGTAAACTTTCACCGTAATGTTGGAGGAGCAGTGCTTCTTAGACATGTTTCCAGCAGCTCTGTTCGCATGTTCTTAATCCAAAAGTCCTGATGGTGCAATGGTTCAATGTTTGGCTACTAACCAAAAAGTCCAAACTCCGTGATTGTTTTGCAGGAGAAATAAAGATTTACAGCCTTGGAAACCCTGTGGGGGCTAGGGATGGACAGTTCTAGGGTCACTATGTTGTTGTTGTTATGTGCTGTTGAGTTGGTTCCAACTCCAAGCGTCCCTGTATTGATAGGGTTTCTGCAGCTTTAAATCTCCGAGGGAGCAGAAAGCCTCATTTTCTGTAAGTTGAAATAACTTGATAGTAGTGAGTTTGGATTTTATTTGTCTGTGTGGGTGTGTGTCTTATCCAGAAAATAAGACCAAAATGAAGCTTCACTGGCTCAACCCTGGCACCTTCACTCAGAAAGTCCCAGTGTCCTGTGTCACCTAGGGGGTACAGTTAGGAGAGCTATGGTGTGGAGTGGTGGCCTCACATGCTGGTCACCTTCATTCTTCTGCTTCAAGCAGAAGACTGGGTGAGAGAATTTACATACGTCCCTAGCTAGTTTTGATTTAATCCCTTCTCTCCACACGGACAGTGACTGAGAAAGTATTTGTACAGTTTTGTTCCTCTGCTGTGTCCAGTGTCAAGGTTGTGCTATTGCAAATCTGAGCATACTTTTCTACTGAGAACTCAGCTGATGGAGTTCTAACTGCTGGTGGTGGTCTGCCATGCAGTCGGTTCCCACTCACACTGACCCTGTACAGGGTTTCCAAACCTGTAGATCTTTACGGGAGCTGAAGGCCTCATCTTTCTCCCATGGAGTGGCTAGTAAATTCAAACTGCTGGCTTTGCTGTTAATGGACCGACGCAAAACCACTATGTTACCAGGACTCCTAGTTCTAACTAGAGAATGTTTTTGCTTCTGTGCTTGCTTCACACTTAGCCCTTAAATCATAGGACGCCCATCCTGAGGTGGTGGTAGTTTAGTGTCTTCCATGCAGGGGTCCCAAGTTCGATTCCCAGCCAATATACCTCGTGTGCAGCCACCACTCATCTCTCAGTGGAGGTTTGTGTGTTGCTGTGATGCTAAACAGCAGAGCTTCAAGACTGAAACAGACTAGAAAGAAAGGCCTGATGGTCTACTTCCAAAAATCAGTCAATGAAAATCACCACTAGCTGATCATGGGGGTGGTGCAGGTTGGGTAACATTTTGTTCTACTGTGCAGGGACTCACCATGAGTGAGGAGCCAACATGATGGCAGCTGACAACAACAACAATCTTGTTTGAGAGCCAACATCTCGGAAAGTGGCTGTTTTTAACTGGAGTCATTTAACCCACAGGGACAATTACAGCTGGTACTCTTGGTGGTTTCCAGATGTGATTAATTTAATTGCTTTGTGTATGCTGCCCTACTTATTAATCTTACCCACGAATTACCAACAAACTAAAGTATCAAGAGAAGATGGAAGGAAGACACAGAGTCACTGTAACAAAAGGAAATGGTTAATGTTCAACCGTCTCAAGAAGTAGCATATGATCAAGAGCCAATGATACTAAAGGAGGAAGTCCAAGGTGCATTGAAGGAATTGGCAAAGAACAAGGCACCAGGAATTGATGGAATAAAAATTGAAATCTTTCAAGCAAGTGAGGCGACACAAGAGGCACTCACTCATCTCTGCCAAGAAATTTGGAAGATGACTATCTGGCCGACTGATTGGAAGAGATCCATATTTGTGCCCATTCCAAAGAGAGGTGACCCAATGGAATGTGGAAATCATCAGACAATCTCTTTGATAGCCCATGTGAGTAAAGTTTTACTAAAGGTAATACAGAAACAGCTACAAGCATACATTGACAGAGAACTTCCAGAGGCTCAAGCCAGATTTGGAAGAGGCCGTGGAATAAGGGATATCATTGCTGATGTTCGATGAATCTTGGCTGAAAGCAGAGACTATCAGAAAGATGTTTACCTGTGCTTTATTGACTATGCAAAGGCTTTCAATTATGTGGACCATGACAAGCTATAAGCAACATTGTGAAGTATGAGTATTCTGGAACACTTAATTGTGCTCATGAAGAATCTGTACCTGGACCAAGAAGCAGTTGTTTGAACAGAACATGGGAACACTGAATGGTTTAAAATTAAGACAGGTGTACGACAGGGTTGTATTCTTTCACCATACTTACTCAACCTGTATGCTGAGCAAATAATCCAAGAAGCTGGGTTCTATGAAGAAAAATGTGACATCAGGATCGGAAGAAAACTCATTAACAACCTGCAATATGCAGATGATACAACCTTGCTTGCTGAAAATGAAGATGACTTAAAACATTTACTGATGAAGATCAAAGAGCACAGCCTTTGATATGGATAACATCTCAATGTAAAGAAAACAAAAATCCTCACCACTGGACCAATAAACAACATTCTTATCAAGACTGAAGTTGTCAAGGACTTAATTCTTCTTGTATCAACTATCAAGACTCATGGAAGCAGCAGTCAAGAAATCAGACGATGCATTGCATAGGCAAACCTGCTACACAAGACCTTTTTAAAGTGTTGAAAAGCAAAGATGTCAGCTTGAGGACTAAGGTGCGCCTGACCCAAGCCATGGTATTTTCAATAACCTCATGTGCATGCAAAAGCTGGACAGTGAATAAGGAAGACCGTAGAAGAACTTATGCTTTTATGGCGTTGGAGAAGAATATTGAAAGTGCCATGGGCTGCCAAACAAACCAATAGATCTGTTTTGGAAGAAGTGATGCCAGAGTGCTCCTTAGAGACCAGAATGGCCAAAGTTCATCTCTCATACTTCAGACATATTGTCAGGAAGGACCAGTCGCTGGAGAAGGATATATCATATTTGGTAAGGTGGAGGGTCAGAGAAAAAGAGGAAGACCTCCAACGATATAGATTGGCCAAGTGGCAGCATCGATGGACTCAAGCGTGGCAACAGTAGTGAGGTTGGCCCAGGATCGGGCAGTGTTTTGTTCTGCTGTGCATAAGGTCTCTATGAGTTGGCACTGACTTGATGGCACCTAACAACAACAACGTGTAGAGTTCTGAAACCCAAACTAGTGAATCAAGTATAATGTTAAGCCTCCACGATGTGTCATTCCTTCCCTCGTCTCTTCATTCTGGTTTCTTACTAAAACCTAGAAAGATATGTTCTATGTTGGAAAGCCTGAGAGGTCATTCCATGAACTTTTTGAAGCCTACTCCTATGTATTCTATTTAGTAGTTTATTAAAAATATTATTCTTCATGGCTCATCTGTTCTCCTTATTGTCAGTGATTTTTGCTCCCATAGCCCATTGCACAGATGGAAGGACTGAGGTTTGTCTAGGCTCAATGGCCCACCCAGGGTCACACAGTCCTTCCCTGGCAGAGACAGTAGCAGAAATATGTTGTCTGATACTGGGTCTGGAGTTCTGCGTCCTGCCTGTAGAGTACCTTGGGATGAGGCTTTGCGTTGTAACTAATGGGCATGCCAACCATTTTTGCACGTTCTTAGCTAAACACATGGCTTCGGTTTAAAAATTAATGACTACATAATAGACATTTCTATTTCCCAAGAGTTTGGACATGTTATATTTTCTTTTCTTCTCTGACAGAAATCCGACATCCAGGACAGTGTCTGCTACAAGACCCAGCTCTACCAGATAGAAAAGTGCAGGTCCACTAACGAGCCCTATGAGGTGGGTAACAGTTGAATCAAAGCCAGGAATACCTAGAAGAAATTGCATCAGTGGGGGAACATGTAAATGAAATCATTTATTGTGGGACACGGGAGTTACAAAAGACTAATATTCACTGTCTTAGTTTCATCAACCTTCTGTAACAGAAATACCACAAGTGGGGTGCCTATAAAGGACAGAAATTCATTTTCTCATAGTTTTAGAAGTTAACAGTCCAAATTGTGGTCTCAGCCATGCCTATGCCTTCTGTGAATCTCTCCGTTCGTTCTGATGTCTGTCCATGATCCTTGGAGTTGCTTTGCTTCTAGAAGATTCTCACATGGAGTCTGTCTTTTCTTCTGTGTGTACATCTCTGTGTCTCATCTGGTCTTTTTATAACTCAGACATGATTAGCTTAAGGGTTCATTCTACACTGGTAGGACCTCAACTGGTAGCTGTTGAAGTTCTACTCCCCATTACCTATGAATTTGACCTTGTTTGGCAATAAGATCTCTGAAGAAGTACCAGTAAAGTCAACATGAGATCATAAAAAAGAAGGGTCATATGAAACATCTCTTTTTGGGTTGTAGGAGACACAATTCAACCCACAAGAGCAGGAATAGTAGACTAGAAAAACGTACTTTTTCATCCAAAAAACTTTCCCAGCCCTCTTCTTCCTTTCTTCTCCCAATGCTAAGTATTGCATTCATTTACATTTTCATGCATTTTTCACCTCTTAGAGATCACACAGTGGTTTTCATCATTAGGTACTCACTGGAATTACCCAGGGAGCTTTAAAAAAATATTGATGTCCAACTTCTGTTCCCCAGGATTCCGTGGCATGGACATCCAGATGTTTCATTGCTCCAGGCTATTCTAATCTGTAGTCACAGTTAAGAACCGTAATTTGGCTCCCGAGAGATGATGGCCCCACTGTGAGTGTAATAATTAATCTTGTGTGTCAACTGGACTAGGCTCTGGTTCCCAGTGGTTTGGTCAAACACTAGTCTAGTTCCTGTCATGGAACGGTGATTAAATCAATGATTAATACGTCACCAGGGCTCCACTGGGTTGTCTTAGGTGCTCAGTAAGTATTTACAAAGATGAACAAGCAAGTGTATCAAGTGATCTTGACCCATGTCTCAGAAAATGGATAGAATTTAGATATGGAACAGGAGAGGGTGGAACATTCTAGGTGGAGCACCTGGAATAATAAAAGTAATGGCGTTGCGTACAGCATACGACACAAGTCCCTTGTCATCATCACTCTGTTGGGACTGTTTTAGGGTTGGTCATCTGTACTGAAGGCATTCTGCCTCGGGTCCAGAGATGCAGAATTCACTGGTAGGCTTCCCTGGTTCTCCGTATAGATTTGCCTCTTCTGTTGCTGTTAGTATCTGTCAAGTCTGCACTTGCTCATGGTGACCTCGTGTATAACAAAATGAAGCACTGTCCAGTCCTGTGCAATCCTCACAATCATTCATAAGCTTGAGTCCATTGCTGTAGCCATGGGTCAATCCATCTCTTGTAGAGTTTTCTTTGTTTTTGCTGACCCTCTACATTACCAACCCTGATGTCTTTTTTGAAGCAATTGGTCTTTTCTGATGTCCAAAGGAAGTAAGCTGGAACATTCTGGTTGTATATCTCCTAAGACTGATTTGTTCATTCTCATGGAAGTCCATCATTCTCCTCAATGCATCAACTCTTCTGTCTTTCTTTTTCATTGTCCAACTTTCTCATGCCTATTAGGGGATTGAAAACACACATTTTAATCATCAAAATGACATTTTAAGCACATTAAAGAGATCTCTTTTGGCAGATTGCCCAGTGCAATACACCATTTGATTTCTTGACTGCCTCCTTAGGGCCTCAGTAGTACAAACTTAGGTGCCCTGGGTGCCCTGTGTATATGCCCTAAATCTCTTCTAAGCGACTTTGTTGACATTTGTGCCCACTACTGCCCTTGTACTGGAGCCTCGGGTCTCTGTGATGTGTGTCAGAAGGTGCCTGAACTGTGTTTGGAGCCTTTTTTTTCCACCCAGACTCTTTTTCTCTAATGATTACTTCACTTGTCCTGAAAACACATGGTGTACACTTCAGACATCGGTTGAAATATTTAATGGTTAGAGTTTAAATAGGAACACTAATGGGAAAACAAGATTTCAATTTTCTATGATCCATTTGTTTTCTCCAAACTGAAGCAATATTTCTGCTAATTAAATTACAGGCTATGACTAGATTATCCAACTTGTCTCCTTTGGAACCCAGAAAATGAATTACAGCCTATTAGAATATGTGCTAGGGAGGTCTGAAAGAGCCCTGATTTTATAAGTAAAGCCCGCTCAGGGCTTCTGGGGGTTTTGTTATGGTTGTCATCAGCTGGTCCCAGAGGAAAGTTCCAAGACATTGAATGGGGGTGTGGCTAGGGGTGGGGTGGGACAAGGGAGCAATGAATAGGAGTTTCAAGTTGTCTCTGATCTGGCTCAGGGTCTGTGTCTCCCAGGGATGTCATGAAACTGAATCCATGCCCTAAGTCCAAGTAATAGCCTCTTTGTCTTCAGTTCTTTTTTCCTAGGAGACAAAGGAGCGGAATTAGTTTGAAAAACCCTCCCTCTGGGGGTTACAGTGCTGTGACTTGGACTTTTATCATTTTCTCTACCTCTTCTTCCTGCCCAAGACAGACTATCTGTGAAAGTGGGACACATACCCCATCTAAGAACACTGAGTCGAGAGATTCCTCTTCCTATATAAACTGAGCCCTTGAGGACTGGAGGGATGAAGAAGAGGCTGTCATTGTTTCAAAACTGGCTTATTAACGCCAGAGTCCCTGGGTGCTACTGATGGGTAATGCACTAGTTTCCTAATGAAAAGGTTAGAAGTTAGAAGAGGTGCCTCAGAAGAACGGCCTGGCAATTTACTTCCCAAAAATCTACCACTGAAAGCTCTATGGGTCACAGTTACACTATGACATACATGATGTCACTGTGAGGTGGGGTCAACTTGACAGTAGCTGCTTTTTAAAAAAAAAAATTAAAACCACCAGGACAGAAGTTTTTTTTTGTTTTTTTTCCGTTAACACCTTGAAAAAATAATGCTACTGTGTGGAAAACTGTAAAATAGAACTAGGGGGTATTCTCCACTATGGCAAAGTAACATTGCTGCTTATTGAAAGGTAAAATATTAGAATGTTCACTTCATGTCTGATTTCAAAACCTGGAAAACTTTAAATGAAGTTTGATATCAGGAAGAACGAATTTGTGTTTGAAATCAGAATGGTAGTTACCTTTGGGGACAAGGATGCTGGGAGAGGACATGGAGGAGACTGCTGAGGGCTGGCTGGACTTTGTTTCTTGATCTGTGTTGTGCTGCTAGTAAAAACACACAGACTTGTTTATTCATCATGAGTGTACTGTTTTGTGTTCTAAACTTCAATGGAAGTGTCTTTGTATTAGATCCCTCGGGCTGTAGTAACAAAACACCATAATACACAGGCAGCTAATAAACACAAAAATTCATTGTCTCATAGTTCTGGAAGCTAGAAGTCCAAATCAGGATATCAGCCATGTTGATTCCTTCCAAGGCTCTGAAAAATAGTCTTCCCCGTGCATCTTCCCTAGATCTGGTAGTAGCATTGGGCATTCTTCTCCTTGAATGTGCATCTTCACATGGTGACCTTAATTTGTCTCCCTGTCTCGGAGTCCCTCCTCTTTCATACACACTACAATCACAGAGAATTAGGACCCATCCCACTCCTGTATAGGAGCCCTAGTAATATAGTGCATTACAAACTGGGCAGCTAACTACAAGGTCTGCAGCTCAAATCTACCAGCTGCTCCGAGAGAAAAAAAGGAAGCCTTCTGTTGCCGTAAAGACTTACAGCCTCAGATTTACAGGTCACCATGAGTTGGAACCAACTCGGTGGCACACAACCACCACCAACTACTTTTATATGACCTCATATTAACATAACTGATAACATCTCCAAGGTTCCTATTTCCAAACAAGGTCAAATTGGACTTCACCATGGCTTTTTGGAAGAACATAGTTTGATCCATAACAGTCTCAACATGACAGCCTTAAGCTTCGATGGCAAGTTTACCTAGAAAATCTTTTTAATGCATAAATTAGGACATCTGCTGCTTGTTTCCATGACTTTTCAGGAGTTTGGTTTCTTGTCTGTAAACACTGAAAAGGACAGTTTGCAACAGAAGCTGCAGAGGAAATAGTAGCGAGTAGATCTTAGGGAATAAACAGCAGATGTAGCTTCCTGAACTGTTGAAAATGCTGCTTTTCACAGGCCTCCCTGGACACCTGGACAAGAGACCTTGAATTCCCTGCTGTGCAGGTAAGAACAAGTTGCATTATGATCCTAAAAGGTTGGATGGACTCTGCTCAGGGTGGCCCGCCCCTCCCTCTGAACCGGAACTAAAACATGCAGACTCCTACTTGGGAGTCTGTCTGCCAAGTGCTGCACTCTCCCCTGCAGTTGGTGTTTCCTATATTTAATTATATTTAATTGGCTGGGGTTTGGGGATTTGGTTTTGTTATAACTGCACATCCTGGCTTTGCATTTGTGTTTTTACCTACGTGAGAAGTAGGGTTTGCAATAGCCCAGAAATTCCAGGCTCTGTGGCTTAATTTATGAGCCAAACCTCTTTTTCTCAACTCACTCTTGTATTTCTCTGCTGCAAATCAGAACTTGGTGGTTTCTCCTTACGTAATGGAAAGCAGACTCCCTGGGCCCATGGGCCATTTCAGGTGCATGTGATTGGTACCTGGTTCCTCTCTGCTGTGCCAGACAGGCAGGCAAGGGCTCATGTAGCATCAAGGGACCTCAGACTCCAGAGACATCCATGCTGGAGTTAACAGAGTTACTCAAAGAAGATAGCTTCTGCTCATCTCAAACCACCAGGGCCTCCCTGCTGCTGGACTCACCTTAGCCAGAACTGCAGTGCATCCTACGTTGACAATAGGGGCAACAGCTTCTGCTCTGTTCAGTGGATGCATTTGCTGTTCAGAGGATAATGTAGGTGTGATGCGGGAGTTCATTTTAGACTCAAGTACATGGGAACAAACCTCTTGGTTGCAAATGAGGAAGTGACTGGCACAGGGTCCCTTGATGAGTTACTGAAAGAGCCAAGAATGGGTTCCAGATTTCCTGGCCGAACTACAAACATGACTGATGTCACTGGTACATCACCCTACAAAGCAAAGCCCAGACTGAGGGCGAGAGGGCTTGGCTACTTGGAATGTAAGAGCCTGGAGTTATTCTTCTATAGCTGCTGCCTTGGAAGTGTTGGAGGCCCTGCCTCTGGGGACCAGCACCCCCAGCTCAGACCCCAGAGGGAGAGAACCAGGCTCCTGGAAGCTGCAGATATCACCCTTCAGAAGATCTGTGGATCATCACCATCTTCGTCTCCTAGGTTTGCTATGACAATAGACCTCAAAGTAGGAGACTTTAAAGAGCAAGAATTCGTTTTCTCACAATTCTGGAGGCTACAAGTCCAAATCAGAGTGTTGGCCATGTTGATTCCTTCTGAAGCTTCTGAGAGAGAATCGGTCCCATGGCTCTCCCCTAGCTTCTGCAAGCTCCTACAAACCTTGCTATTCCTTGGCCTATAGCTATGTCTGCTTCCATCATCACATGGCCTCCCATTCTTTGTCTTCTTTTGCAAGGATGCCACTCAGATGGACTTAGGTCCCACTGTCATGTTAACTAACAACATTGCAGAAAATCATCTTCCCAAACAAGGTCATCTTCACAGGGACCCGGGGTGCGGGAACTTCAATACATCTTGTTGGAGGACACACTTCAATCTAGAACACTCACTGGCTTCTTCTTCTCTTCACGACAGTAGAGGTGTATTGTGTAGTTGATCCTTTCTGAAGTCACATTTCCAGAACGTCCAGGATTGCCTTTCCAAATGCCCATGCCAGTCTGCAGTGGGTAGAAGATGAGTTCAAGAAAATCAGAACCAGTGTCCCCACTGAATAGTTTTCATCTTGCCTAGATAGGTCTGGTGAAAAGAGATGGGGATAAATAAGATTCTTACAATTCAACAGTGAGTAATTGTTATCGTGACTAATTGTGACTGTCACAACTGTGAAGGTAGAAGTTTTGTAACGAAAAGGGGGGAATGGTTAATCTTACAGTCCAGAAACAGAGGACCCTGGGACCATCAAGTGAGAAGAGCATAAGTGGAATGTGATACCTTATCCAGAGAAGCAGTGACACTAAAGATGGAGGCAGAGATGGGGACATGGAGAGAGGGAGCAGCTGAGGACTCTAGACTCATGGAAAGAGAGGGACTGAATGCTGGCAGCTAGGAGGCACACTTGCAGAATGTGCCCTTTAGTTGTTTAAATGATTATATATTCCTGAGTGTTTTTGTGTACATCTCTCCCCCACAACCTCAACTCCCCCCTGCCCCCTCAAAAAAAAGGAAAACAGAGGGGATGGAAGCAAATACTGTTGAATGGTGATGCATGGAGGTGATTGTAATCATTGTAATGAAATGATGGTGTAAAGCCGATGTTCTCCCATGTAAACTATCACTCGGTTCACAATAAACAAGAAAAGAAAACTAGAACTGTTGTATATGTAGGTTGCAGTTGTAGCCTCTGTGGTCCCCTCTCTGATCTGCTTTTAGGGGTGCAGGACTGTTCCCTGAATGGCAAACAGGATCTGCTTCAAATGGAGAGCTGGAATTCCGTGGTCTACCCCCAAAGGTCCAGAGGGTGGATGGGAAACGTTGGGAGGCGGGGAGCTGAAGAAGTTAAAGAATCCTACAGGCAGCCCACAGTTGTGTGTTAATGCAGGAGGATGCATCTAGAAGGAGGAATGTAACTAGTCCCTCTGAAGATATTTTTCTGTTACATAAGGCAATTTAGTGTCATGCTCCTTAGGAAATTTCTTTTTGAAAAAAATAGGCCATGCAAATGAAAAGGTATAATTGAATGATCGGTTTACACATTTTATCGTATGTGCTTAAAGGGCAGTAAAATTGGCTGGCTGCAAACAAACATGATTTCTGAGGACTTTTGACCCTTCACCCATGGACTGACCCAATGAAAGTCCCTTCAGGGAACAGTTGTGAGGGGAATTCTTGGCATCAACCTAGAAATCATCGAGTCTTTTAGGCTGGAGGGGAAGGAAAGTTCTGAGGGATTGTGGAGGAAGTGCCAGCACTCAGGATCCTGGAATTGAGTTCACCAAGGATGGCCTTGGCTGGAATTTTGATTGACCCTTTTTCCTACTCCACAGCTGGCTCTCTGCTCGCCATCATCCTATGGTCAGTTACAGTAGAGATTTCCAGAGCCAGCCGTGGCCTCTTTCCTCAGAAAATTAGTGTGCTGTGTACCTCTCTGGCCTAATAAACTATCTGGTCAGTGACACTGGCCCCCGGAAACTTTGCATCTTAATCCTTTATCTTTGGAGAGCCAAGAGAAGGGTTGAAAGGAGAGAAACAAACCTATAAGGCCCTGGCGGCTTTCTAAGCACAGGTGACATAGGTTGCAAAGATTTTCTTATTGTTTAGAAAGCAATCCTGAAAAAGGAGGGACTACAATTTTGTTTTGTTTTTTTTTCTTCTGAATATTGTTTAAAAAATTATGACCAAAGTGCATTTAATTTTCTTTTCTTGTTTAAAGATAGAACTGTTAAATTTTGTATAAAAATAGAGATAGAACCAAACAAGAGGAGGAAATTCTTCTGGACATTTCAGGAAAGGCCAGCCAGTGGGTTGGGGTGTGAAAGCTTTTCCTCTTTGTCTCAGAAAAGGTTACTGGTAGTGTTTCACGGAATAGAGAGGGAATTGTGGTGGTCCTCTACTGGCCTTGACCAGGAAAACCTGGATCACATGACCTCCACAGCAGCCCTGTTAATAGCCTGGACCACACAGCTTCCCCCACAGTATCCCACGTGACAATCTGGACCACACAGCTTCCCTGTAGTGCCCCCAATATTGTCTTCAGGAGCCCTAGGAATACAGCTAGGCACCACCTCTGCCTCAGTGACTGGATCCCAGCATTTCTTCTTGGCCATCTGACTTCAAGAAGGCAATATTGAGTCAAGGGTTAAGAGCACCACCTTCAGGGTTCTTGTTCTCATTCTGACTTTTGATGGGGCTCAACAGTAAATTACTTAACCACTGTAGGCTGTCTCCTCATCTTCAAGAAGGGTGACAGAACCTACCACCTCGTTGGGCACGTTTGTAATTTGAGGACTGGCGCATCATGTATCTTCAGTAAAGGCTCATGCCAGCTATTTTGATGCTGAGGAAAGAATTTCTAAAAGCTTCTCCACTCCTTTCTTCTGACCTGCCATTTCAGCTAACAGACCCCCCTCAACAGGATCTCGCTCCACCTGGTGTGGTTCACAGTTTAGCTTCCTCACTGCCTCTTTACCCTAGCCCTCCTCTCACCCTCAAAACCTGGACACAATGAATCCCAATTCAATAGAGGCTTTGGAAATCCTCACCAGAAAAGGCTACATAAAAGAGCAAGAGGAGGTTTTCTTGAGAAGCTTTTCAACAACATGCATGAAAAATAGATGAACTCTCCTGAATTGCAAATGCTTTTAAAGTTTAAGGCAAAAATGTGAAAAATCTCTCCTTTTTTTTTTTCCCTCATCCACAATAAGGTTGGAGATGTGGTTACCTCTGTTTAACAATAAACATCAAACACAGGCAAAGGATTTCTTTTTAATGGCATCACCCTTTCCAGAAGTTTGAACTCAATTAATTTAAATCAGTGCAGTTTCTACTGGCATTAGCTTCCATTTATTGAGCCTTCCTCAAAGTGTCTGGCTTTATTCCAGAGAGTGTGGGATTGAAGATATCTAAAATTGTCAAATTCACTCCCATCAGAGAGATCGTAATCAATAAAGGCAAGGCTTACAGCAAAATGGCTAAATATATGCCACTTTTAAGTACACGACTAAGTGTTCACATGACTAAGAGATGGGAAAAGCCAGTAACTCATGCCAGGGTTGCTCAGGATGATGGATTCTTACCCACAGTGTGCTGGCCATTTTTTGGCTTGACTGAACAAACTAGAATTGATGTTAAGCTGGGTGTGGCTACATTTAAAGTTGCCTTTGTACAAAGCCATTTCTGTGGGCAGATTCTTAGGACACTACTTTAAATGCAGACAGTAGATTTCCAGAAGTCCCGATCTGCTTTGCCTTTACTCCTTCAACTTGTTCCAGAATAATTGGCCTCCTAGGTTTCAGTTGTGGCGTTGGGGAAGAATATTGAATATGCCAAGGACTGCCAGAAGAGCAAACAAATTGGTCTTAGAAGAAATAAATCCGGAATGTTCCTTCGAAGCAAGGATAGCGAGTCTTCATCTCATTTATTTTGGACATATCATTAGAAAAGGCCAGTCGATAGAAAAGGATATCATAGTTGGTAAAGTGGAGGGTCTGTGAAACGAGGGAAATCCTCCTGAGACAGATGGGCACAATAGCCACAACAATGGGCTCCAAAATTGCATTGATCAAGAAGATGCTGCAAGATCAGGCTGTTCACACAGAAGGCCATCCTCAGTCAGAGCCAACTCAATGGCAACTAGCAACAACAACACAGATGACCTTGTTCGTGCTGGAGGAAGCTGGATACCATCAAAGCCTGCTTGCTGCCAAGCTGGACATTGGCTCTTCCATCCTTCAACACAAAGTCAAGAATGTACAATTTTGAAAAGCTGGAGTTAACTCTAATCCACTTGGATTCGCCTTTTTTTTTTTTTAGTTTTTATTGTGAATTGAGTGATAGTTTACATGGGAGAACATCAGCTTTACATTCATCCTATCACATTTTGTTTCATTACAATGATTATAATTCCCCTCCATGCATCATCAATCAACCAAAGGGTACATCCCTCAAGCCTGCCCCCTCGGCCGTCAGCACACAGCCCCTTTCCCTCCCTGAGTCCAGAGTCCCCAGCCGCTCCATCGCTCCACATCATCATCTCTGCCTCCATCTCTGGCATCACTTCTTCTCTGGATATGGTCCCTACTTGGATTCACCTTTTAAAGAGGAATCACTTTGTATATTCTTTTTTTGTCACAGCCACCATAGTTAATAGTCATACTATAACGTCACACCTAAGAATGCTGGGTCAGTGACAAAGAGGAAGACCCCCAGTGAGACGGATTGGCACAGTGTCAATAGCAATGGGCTCAAGCGTACCAATAGGACTTGGCAGTGTTTTATTCTGTTGTGTATAAAGTCACTATGAGTTGGAGCCAACTTAACAACACCAAGAATAGTAATGTTAACTCAACAATAACATCTACTCTTCAGTCCTTACTTAATTAACTTCCAAATAGCTCCCAAATGTCTTATATAATCTTTTTTTTTAAGTCTAAGAGTCAAAACATGATAAAGAGATTTTAGATTAAGAGACTAAAGAGATAGGTGATCAATTATTATATTTCTCTGACTACTTTATGTTTTCTCCCAATTTAAAGGATAAAAAGCCCAAAGAACAGGAAAAAAGAGGGGATTTTCTTCATTGGCCTTTTTCCAAGAAGTTGGATAAGAACCTGTCTTCACACAAGCAGGCCCATGGCTCACTCATCACACAGATCCAGGGCACCAAAGCACTCCTGAGGGACCGGAAGTCCTCCAAGCCTGGGCTCCCCGACAAAGGTGGGTCGGCTCTGGGTGACTTCTCAGGCCACACATGTTGAACTGTGGGTCTTATGTACACCCCCAAGGAGAGGAATGATTCTTGTGCTGAGTGGAATAGCAGAGTTAATACACCTGAGGCAACCCAAGAACCATAAAGCATCCAATTGTGTGGTGTTGGTCATCTGTGCAGGAAGGATTAGAGAAAGGAGAGGTGGGGATGATGCTATGAGGAGGCTTTTAATTCCATTTTTCTATGAATTTTCTGAAACCTCCTCCTTGTATGGGAACAGAGATGCACTGTGTTATGGAAGTACTTGTTGTTGTGAAGTGCCATTGAGTCGATTCCGACCCATAGTGACCCTTTGTAGGGTTTCTAAGGAGCAGCTGGTGAGCTTGAACTACCGACCTGGCAGTTCAAATGGCTTTGCAGTTTGGTGCATTAACCCACAGCGCCACACCAGAAGTCCTATGGAAGTACTTAGGTGCATGGTATCTTGGGAACAGATATCAGGGTGAATGATATTGTTGTTGTTGTTAAGTACCTTGGAGTCGGTTCCAACTCATAGCAACCCTGCACAGGGTTTCTGAGGCTGTAAATCTTTACAGGAGCAGAACGCCTCGTCTTTCTCTCATGGAGCCGCTGGTAGTCTCAAACTGCTAACCTTGAGGTTGGCAGCCTAACTTGTAACCACTACGTTACCATAGGGGATCAGAAAAGTTGGAGCTTCAAGTCTACCCTGAGGCACCTCAGAAGAAAGTCCTGGTAATCTACTTTAAAAAAAAAATCAGCTACTAAAAACCTTATGGAACATAGTTCTACTCTGAGGCACGTGGATTCACCATGAGTCGGGATCAACTCAACGACAACTGGTTTGGTTTATGTTTTGTTTATGTCAGGATCAGAGTATTCTCAGTATCCTTGGATGGCTCCTGAAACCATCCCCAATGGGCCCCACACACACACAGCTTGCTCCCACAGCAGGGCCTGCAGAAAAAAGATGCTTAAGTGGAACTTGTTCCACGTGAACTTGGCCTTATTTCCCTCAGTACCACACATGTGGGGGTTTTCCCTTTCCTTTCTGGCACAGTTTGCAAGCCTAGTTTCCAGCCTATGCCAACTCGAGATAAAAATGTTGGAGATTAGCTCACTGTCTTAAATATATAGAAGACTGTTCATCCCCGTGGAGAATTGGATGAGGCAGCAGTCAGATCAAAAGTTGTGAGGGAAATGCTCATTCCAGGGTGGGAGAGCTGAGGACTGACTTACAGATGCTCAGTTAGTTGGACTTGGCGTTCTTTGAGGGACTTTGTTGATTGCTTATCATCTGCATGCATCTGATTTATTCATAGACCCTTTGGCAGGATCAGAATTTTAAGCAACCCAAAGGGGAGTTGATGTTAAATTGATGTCTTACTTTCTGAATGCTTACTATACTAACAAATACCACAATTGTGTGACTTTAACAAACTAACTTATTTTCTCACAGTTCAGGTTAGAAGTCTGAATACAGGGCCCGACTCTGTCTCTCAGCTCTGGAGAAAGATCCTTGTTTCTTTTCAACTTCTGTCCCTTGGTGCCTTGGCAGTCTTCTTGTGGCATGATATCTTTCTTTCCCCATCTGGGCTTGTTTGCTTCTGTGCCTAATTTGCTCCTTTTAGATCTCAAGAAGGTGTGCTGGTGGTGCAATGGTTAAGTACTTGACTGCTAACTAAAAGGTTAGAGGTTCAAACTCACTAGCCACTCTGCAGGAGAAAGACCTTGTAATCTGCTCCCATATAGACCACTGTTGTTGTTAAGTGCTGTTGAGTCAGTTCTGACCCATAGCGACCCTGTGTAGGTTTCCCAAGGAACAGCTGGTGAGCGTGAACTGCCAACCTTGCTGACTTTGCAGTCTAGCTCATTAACCCACTGTGCCACACGAGGCCTCCCCCATATATATTACAGCCTTGGAAACCCTATGAGGCAGTTCTTTCTGCCCTATAGAGTCACACTATGAATAGGAATCAACTCTATGGCACACAACAACATAACTTTGTTAACATTCACAAATGGGATTATACCCACAGATATACAGTTTAGGAGTCTAACACACACTTTTGGGGACATACTTAAAACTGTTAACACTTGGTGCCATGAGGCATATGGAAACCAGAAGACCTCCCATTACCAGATCTCTGTCCACTCCATTCTAGAAAGACTGCAGGCCTTTGGGACAGTCAGATGCCATTGCTGGCCACTGTGATGAAGTGGGCAAGGTCATTGGACCTCCACTGGGTAACACAGTACCTCACAAAACTGACGCTCAGAGCAGGTGGGAGAGAAGAGATGTGCGCACGGTTTGTGTAGCTGTTTTCATGCTTTCGTTTGCTTTCTCAGTTGTAGATTCCTTCAGCTGCCGCAGTATTTTCCGCAAAGCCTCTGATTCCAATTGTGTGGCCTCTTCGTCTATGGAGTTTATCCCTGTTCCACCACCCAGGACCCCTAGAATTGTAAAGAAACCGGAGCCCCATCAGCAAGGGCCTGGAAGTGCTGGTGTTACCCCCAAGGAGGACCCCCTGATGCTGGATATGGTGCGCTCCTTCGAGTCTGTTGATCGTGTTGATCCTGCAGAACTGCTGTCCCCATCTCATCACTACCGGATTCTCAACTCCCCCATGAACTTTGCACGCAGAAATTCCAGTGAGAGAACACTCTCCCTGGTCCTGCCCACCGGAAGCACTTCACCTGTCCAGACTCCCACGCACACCACTCTGGTCTCCTTTGCTCATGAAGACAGGAACAGCCCCCTCAAAGAGGAGGGGGTGTGCTGCCCACCCCCGGTTCCCAGTAGCGGCACCACGCAGCCTTTGGGGAGCCCGAATTGTGTGAAAAGCCGTGGCAGGTTCCCCATGATGGGCATCGGGCAGATGCTGAGGAAACGACATCAGAGCCTGCAGCCTTCAGCGGATAGGCTTCTAGAGGCCAGCATGCCCCCACTGCAGCCCCTGGCCCCTGTGAGTCTCTCCTTTGACATGGCCGATGGCGTCAAAGGTCAGTGTTAACCTGGGCCAGCAGTCTTCCTGACCTATTGAAGGAAAGCATTCAAACAGGGCTGAACACAACCGTCAGGGCCTGAAGATAACAGAAGCCTCTGTGGAATATCCTTCATGGCCTCATCTCCCTGTCTGCTCCAACTTCGGAACAGCTGAAATCCAGACCCAAAGCCTGCACAATCTAACCTCGCAAGGGACCCCAGAGATGCTCTTAACCTCTAGGAGAATGGCAATGTCAGTTCTTCAGACCCTCCTACTTTCCATCCACTCATCCGCTCTCCACCTCCTTCTGCTGGACTCAGGGGTGGCTGTATTTGTTGTTAGCTGTGGCTCCTGACTCATGGTGACCGCAGTGGAATGAAATGTGCCATCCCGTCTTCAATTGTGAAGCGGATCATTGTGATGCACAGAGCTTCACTGGCTGATTTTCAGAAGTAGATTGATTGCCAAGCCCTTTGTCCTAGTCAGTCTTAGTCTAGAAGCTCTTAGTCTGTTTCACATCCTAGCCACACACAAGCCTCTGTTGACAGTCAGGTGGTGCCTGCATAGGAGGTATAATGAATGGCTGAGAATCAAACCTAGATTTCCCACATGAAGGTGAGAATTCTACGGTTGAACTACCACTACACCTGAGCTTGGGGGTGAAAGGCAGGAACTGTCCATCTGTCTGGGCCACTTGGATTACATAGACTATTAGAAGACCTTTCTTCCCTTGGTGCAATGTGTGTACTGCTCAGTGGATTGTTCTGTTTTTAGCACGGAGACCAACAGCTTCCCAAAATGCTTCATCCACCAAAGCACTTGCAGGCACATGTTTTCCTCTGCGGAGTGAAGCAGCCCTTTCTCTGTAGCAGGGAACACCTGCAAGCCAGCAGAGGCTGTCAGCCTAGAGCACCGGAGTCCAACAACCTCAGAGGAATAGAGGAGCCCCGCCACTCAGCTGCCAGGCCTGTCCCCTCTAAAGCAGAAAGGGCTATTGAATGAGGGTTGAACCCCAAATAGTGGGGATCCCAGTGAACAAAAAGAAAGGAACACTCAAAGTCTTGACCATTGTTTTTTTTTTTTTTTTCTTTTGGTTGAAAATTACTAATGATTGAATTATCTTCTCTGGAGAGATTTCTTTCTGTGATGTCATTACATCAAAGTAACATAATATTTTAAAACCTGGATGGAGAGATGAGGAAGATGTAGTGTGCAGAGCATAGATGCTTGCTCAGGAGGTGTTTTCAGTGGCTATGGGACTAAGGTGGCCTGCAGGAGGGGCCCAACATAGCCTGGATCCCTCTGGAGGACATAATGCATGGTTATAATTGGCTACCTGGGAAGAAAGAAAAGGAGGGTTAAAGTCAAATTTGAAAGACAAGAAGACAACATCACCTCTAAGTACCTCTGAGCAGTGCAGTTTTCAAGCTGCCAAACAAACAAGTGGTTTTCAGAGCTCAACTCGTTTGCTCCTAGCTGTGAGCAGGCAGGAAGCATATTTAAAATAAAGTGCAGTTTCTTCTTTGAGGAAGCAGTGTTCTGCAAACAGGGTTTTAGTCCATGTTCTGTGTTCGTACTTTTTGCCAAGGATCAAACCAAAGATGCGTCTCTGGTTCTGTATGTGTTTTGTCCCTGTGTGCACATTTTGTGGACCATGATGTTATCTGACCTTGTTCAGCTGGAGTCCGAAAAGGACTCTCCCAACATGGGGCACTTGGAAGGAAGTACTTGTTTGTGGACAGGACTGGAAAGGGGAGAAGAAATAGCACAGGTCGGATGCTGGTGAGTTTAGGAAATGGGTTGCAAGATGGCACAGAGCCTTCAACATTTGAGTACTGCAGATGGGTCCAGAAAGCACCACCGTGGGCACATTGGAGTGACCAGAAACCACTGCTGTGGACATACTAGGATAGTAGTCTCAGCTTGTTGATTCCAAAAACAGACCCAAACTGTTCACCCCCACCACTAGCCAGTCCTGGCCACACAACCGTGAGGTGCTTCTTCATAATTTCCTCATTTAGCCACTGGTGTCTTCCTTTGACCCCCACAAGTCACTGACTAAGCAAGGAGAGAATGGATAGCCCCTGACCTTGTCAAGACTTCCTGAGGCGAAGGGTCACCCTGGCTCTGGAGCACAGTGGGAGGCAGTCAGCTCCTGGACACCGGTGTTATTCTTCTGTAATGGTTTCAGACCAGCTTCTAGAACTTTAAATTGAAAACAGCTTTGAACTCAGAAGGAAAGAATTCTCTTTTAAAAAAGAGACCCTTCTCTCTATTTGATATGAAGTGTTTGATTTTAGATCTGTGAAGTGTTTTACCTTGACAGATGGCTTCCAGTTGCAGCTGTCCTGCTCTGTAAGTCTGCAGTCGGTGTACCTGTACCTGTGTGTGGTGACCTCCTTTAGGCCTTTGGTATCTTTTTCTCATATTTGCCTTTCCTTGAGAACATGCGTGTTTCCGTGTCTCTGTTAGATTGGGAGAACATGTTTTCCGTTCCTTGTGTGCTTCAAGAATAGCTGCAGATGTCTGGACAACTAACTGACCACATTGCAATTGTTAGCTTAAACTGTGAACTCAGGTTTATTCTGAACCCAGTAAGAGGTGATGGGAGTGAGAAATGGGGAACAACTGTGTTTTGTGTGTGTGAATACCTGACAAATCTATGAAATCGAGTGAAAGAAGAAATGTTTAAATTCTTGATTATTTTATTATATTTATACGGAAAACTTGACTGCCCCTTTGGTAAGTACAAAGTGTGTTGTCTGTGTGACCCATGACTGGTTTTCATCAGTCCACTGTGCCTGATTTCAGTTGGCCTAGAGTTTTGGACGGAAACAACTGAACTGTTATCATGTGACGTGCAAGAGAAAAAGTCGGTTTTAATTGTATGATTTGGACATCGGTAAGGACTCTATTTATGTCACTATTATTAAATACATGTACTTTTATATGACTGTGAAATATACTTTTCCCTCACTATGACTGCATCATTTATTTATTGATAATTCATAGAATGTGGAGTACATTGCTGATGAATAGTACCATCTACTATGTAAAGTTCTTAGTCCAACAATTGGCTGGTGTTGTAGAGCAAAACCTCAGTCTGCTTAAACTAAAAGCAAAAGAGATTTATTGATGGATAGAACCATTCACTAATGGAGGTAAAACAGAGCAACCAGGAAAGTGCTCCAGTTTACTAAAGTGCTCCAGTTTACTAGAGCACTTACTGACTAAAGTGCTCCAGTTTACTAGAGCTGAAGAGAGATATTTATAGTTGAAAGAAAATTTTCAACAAAGTTCTAATTGGTTGACCCTCCCTGGACTTGCCAAGACATAGTCAAATGATTGCAAAGACTTTTTTCTTGGGCCCATTCTGGGCTTGCCCAGACTCGTCTAAGCATAGCCACATTGCCTGTTTAGCAAATTGTTGAAATTAGTTGAAGAGTTATAGCTTTAAAGTAGAAGCAGGAGTGCAAACTAGAAGGACTTCAGTTTGTTGTCCCTGCATCAGCCAACTGATGATGCTAATAAGTACAAAGAATCCCAAATTTTGAATCATCCTTTCACGCTTTAAAGCAGAAATGGGGCCTGAGCCAAAATGAAGTCTATTGGGCTAAGATGGAACCGGAGTAAACCCTCAGTCAGTCATTGTGGGATACCTCAATTTTAGAATACTCTTACACATCTGCAAAATGGAGTTTGACCTACTTCTCATCTCAGCCATCCAAAGACTGCCAAACACTTTTGATTGTAAATGTTCCTACACACTTCCATGTAGATTACAGCGAGACAACCCTACTGAGCAATTTTACTCTGTCACATGGGTTTGCTATGAGTTTAAAATCTAATAACAGCATGGTTGTAACTTAAACCCCAAATCTGTGACAGCGAATAGATTTATTTCTTACTTACACAACTTTCAGTGAGGCTCACTGATTCCAGAGCAGGCTGTGTTTCATCTGGTGACTTGACTCAGAAATCCAGGTTGCTTCCAGCTTGAGGCTCCATCTGCTCAAAATGAAGTATCCATGGCTGCTACGGAGCCCTGGTGTGGAGCTGTAGGCTAAACAATGGACCACAAGGTCCCTTTGAACCACAAGGATAGGGAGTCCTGGTATAGGATAAGCACTGGACGATAGCCACAAGGTCAGCAGTTCAAACCCACCAGCTGCTCCTTGGATACCCTAATACAGGGTCCTGAGTTGGAATCGACTCGAGGGCACTTAACAATAACACACTGGATATAAATCAGAATGAGTTGTGGGGTATTTGGGGGCATTTCCCACTCTAGTCTGCCTATTTCATTCCACTTGCAAAAGGGGTATCTACAAAAGTATCTCTCACTGACACTGAAAATGGCAATTCAAGATAAATCAGAATTTTTCTTTTGTGGGGGACAGAGGTCAGGATCTCCCATGGAAAATGAAAATTGCACACAAAGAATGTCAACTAGGAACATTGCTTCGAGATTTTTTCCTTGGTTTTCATCTTGGTCCATCTGTTAATTTTCCAAGGCACCCACAGGAAAATACCACAAACTGGGGGCTTATGAAATCAACTTAATTGTCTCACAGTTTAGAGGCTGCAAGTCCAAATCAGTGTACTGCCCAGACCATGCTGCCTCCAATGAATGACTGGAAGATCAGGCTTACATTTTAAGTACCTCTTCACATGGTTTGCCTTCTTCTATGTCTTGCTCTTTTATAAAGATACCAGACTGAGATTGTATTAGGGCCCACCCTACTACAGTTTGACCAGTGAAGTACAATTTAATGGATACCCTTTTCTAAGTCCCTATCTCTAAACAGGGAGTGCAATGACTATGTGATAAGCACTGGACTGTGAATCAAGGTCCGTGGCTCAAGCCTGCCAGCTGCCCTGCAAGAAAAAAGATGAGACTTTCTACTCCCATAAAGATTTAAAGCTTCAGAAACTCTACACAGGGTCACTATGAGTTGGAATCGACTCAATGGAGTTAACAACATTTCTAGACAAGATCACAGGAACGCAGGGTGAAAATGTCAACA